GCGGTGGCAGCTGGAGTCGGTGGGGCAAGGTGGTGCCTCTGGCTGCAACCGGGGAAGAGTGATGAGCACAGGGCGCTGGTTTCCTTCAGATTGCTCTTCTTTTCATCTGCAACTAAGGTGTAAGATTAACATAGATGTAAAAAATACCTCTGGCTTTATGCGTGGATTCAGGTTAGGAGGTCCCCAACTGAGCTGTCTGGGGCACTTTAATCCTAGTACAGTAAAAATACAGTGTAGAAGTGGGTTGCAGCCCCAGAGATCACAATATCATATTAAAAAGGGGCAGGGAGAAGGAGGAGGATAGATACGGAGCTTTGTGAGCGAAGAGGATTTGCCCACAGTCCTGCAGAAAGTGTGGATGAAACTGGATGCAGAAGGAAGCGCTTGTGCTCTCCAGCCTCATGTACTACACAGCAGAGCATGCTCTTCCTGAAGACCATCTTTCATCACACTGTTGTGCAAGGCACTGCCAGCCGCACATCCAGCAGTAGCAGTATCCGCGGCCAAAACCCTTGCGTGTTCATGAGTTTGCTAAAGTGCACATTTCTGAGTCTACCTCTAGCACACCATGCTTGGTAACATGTTATTATCATCATTTAAATGTGTGCATATTTCTCCTCCCCGCAGGCACTTTGAGGCAGGAACTTGTCTCTTGCGATGTGTTCATGCAGGGCTTAGCACAGGGGAGAACAGATAAAGGCTGTAACCTCCAAGTGCTATTATTTACAAATAAGTGACAGTAATATAGCATGGGATGTGTTTCCAAGAGCCCGCCATGTGCGCTGAAGAAACCTTTGAGTCCTGCAATCCTGACATAGGTTCCTGGACACAACTTCCTCTCACACGTGCATAGTTAGCTCTGCCAGCCCCATCAGCCATGTCTCACAGGGTCGTCGTATTCAGCCCATTGCTCAGTAAAATCCCACAGCATGCGGTTGCTCTGTACCTGTGTGTTGTAGCCTTCTGTGCAGACCATGATATCTATGTTGTGTTGTACCATCTATGCACGAATGTCACCCTGGTGGTTCACATATTTCTTTGCACCACGTTTTTGCTTTCCATGTACCTATCTACTAGATTAGCTTAATTTTTTCTGGCTTTGAACATTGCAAAGTAATGAAGTAAACTAAACTCAGTTTTCTTGCTTGGTTTGTCCTCCAGATCTAACTGGCTTTACACAGACAATGGTCCCAAAGACTGTATGATAAATCCTGGTGGCCGAAAGACGAGGCACATTGGGGCCCGTACAGAAGAGGAACGGGAACAGGAGGGCAAAAGCTTCCTACTGCCCCTCTGGTAGAGGTACCAAGTGCGTGGCATACCTGCAACTCAAGCGAAGTACTAGTTTTCAGAAAGCAAGCGAGACCGAGAGCCTCTCTGAGGCACTTGGAGCACGGGAGGAAGAGGAGCAGTGCCAGCATGGATAAGGACAGCACAAACGTGGCTGACCAGCAGTATGAATGTGTGGCTGAGATTGGGGAAGGAGCCTACGGGAAGGTGTTCAAAGCCCGAGACTTGAAGAACGGAGGTCGCTTTGTTGCGCTGAAGCGGGTACGGGTGCAGACCAGCGAGGAGGGGATGCCGCTGTCCACCATCCGAGAGGTGGCAGTTTTGAGGCACCTGGAGACATTCGAGCACCCCAACGTGGTCAGGTGAGGAAGTGGGGCAGGCGTCCTGGTCAGCGGGGTCCTGGTTTTAGCACGTGCGCTAGGCAAGCGAGAGTTTGGGTACATAAATGGGCTGGACACCAGTTTGGGTTTGTGGATGAAGCGGGCACTAAACTGTGTACATGAGGTGTGGTTTGAGGTTTCAGCAGGCCGTGGTACTGTCTGCCAGACCTCACCTCATCCCTGTGCATTGCCTCCCACACACAGACACCCATCTCCAGAGGCATAGGTGTGTGACTTAAGTGTTTGAGTGGATGGGCAAGGAGCCATATATACACTATTTCCTCAGGCATAAGACAGAATGAAAAAACCCCAATGTCTCCCTGGTTTTGTCTCAAGTATTAGTTCTGCCAGCTGCAGCTGATTTTTAGCAGCTCTATTCATTATCAAAATGGCAAAGATTATGAGAACGGTAGTGGAATGTGCGTTCCACCTTTTTAGATGCTTTTATAGAGAGTTGTAGATTATTGTGTAAAAGAGAACAGCTTAAGACTTCAAGCTTTGCAGGTGGCCTCATGGTTGAATACTGTTTGGCTGGTACTCATTTCACCGCGTGCTGATGACTGTGCTACCAAGAGTGCAACAGTGCAGATCTCAGGCCTTGCTTGCAAAATGGTGGCAATGGCCCCACGATATCCTTCCTATCGTGTCGGTAGCATAAACCCTGGATAAATGACCTGTGTTCTTGAACAGATTCAATGGTAAGGCCGGCCCTACCATAACCTCTTACATTTTTCTGTATCTGGAAACCTCCAGCAGCCTGTGAGTGTCTTGTATTAATATTATGAAGTAAGCTTCACTTTGCAGATACCCAGGTAGGCAGTGATTTGAAACTGGTCAGCATCTTGCCGATGGTGATGTTTTAACAAGAATATTTCCTGTTATTTGTGTTATTCTACACATATATTGCATAGCAAAAGGAAAATATTTTATACTTCACTAACACCAAGACTCTTTCAGCCCTAGAGAAATAGATACTCTGAAGTTAGAGGTGACCTTCAGAATGGCTTGTAGCTGTGATCCTCCCGCTTATAGCTCCTGGTTTAGGGTCTGAGATGAGAGGGTTTATGGTAGGTGCAAGAGGAAAGATGAGACAGAGAATAATATTTAAAATACAAAAGTGAATAGCTAGAGATACATTCATTTTTGTTCATCTCAAGGCAGGGTAGTACAACAGTCTCATTTCTGTCTAAAATGAATAGGCAAAGCATGTGTATTCTGAAATACTGGTAACGGAGTGCGCGTCATCGGTCTCACTGCAGTGAGGAATGGGATACAGGCTGCAGCTCACACTTTTCCATTGCTAATCAAGCAAATCCACAATTTGGTTAATAACCATTATTTTTGCTGGCACCTAGGAATGCCAGAGGCTTAGTCAATAAGTTTCAAAAGTGGGGGCATCTTTGTGTGAACAACGTGTCATATTTTGATCACTGAATCAAGTGGGTTGGTTTACAGAGGAGCACACACAAAGTTCTTCCTTGGCAGTAGAGAGGTAATTGAGAGTTCTCAAAATCTCTGAAATCCAGCCCAATAATTTATGAGAGTAAGTGAGGATTTAGTGCTCCAGGTTTAGACATTTACATATTTGAAAATTGTAAACCTCGTTTGGGAATAATCCAACATAACAATACTTAAGAAGTTTTCTGTCATTGACATCTTTCCAGATGAAGTAAAGTATTTTTTTAAGAGCTTTCTAATCCTGAATTCAGCAAAATCATGAAAATAAAATTCTTGTTTTCCAAAGAGCTATTTGATGAACTGACTGTGCAGCTGCAGGCTTGTTTTGCTTGGGTTTAAGTGCAGTGCAATCTCGACATAGCGTTGCATAAATACATTGCAGCTTAAAATATTTTTACAAGTTTGAATGAAAATTCATTCTCTGCAAGCAGCAAATATTTCAACCAGCATTATGAGAATGTAGTTTCAATATAAATATCTTTGAAAGTGTGTTCCAGGTCCTCATAGTGACCTTGTGAAGCCTGTATCCTTTGCCATAAGCAGCATTTCAGGCGCAAGGGGTGCTGTGATGCATCAGGATGCTTGGGACCTTGGCTGCACACATATTTCCACAAACAGGCAGGGGAATATAAGAAACAATTTCAAACATTATCTCTTCTAAAATGCGAGGAATGCTATTTAAAAACTCATCTCTCTTGTGAATGTTTTTAGTCTGTAGAGCAGATGAAGCTATAAGTAGCATTTTGGAGTGACTGAAATCATACCCTTATAATGAAAGATTATTTGAAAATATTTAAATGCCCCAGTTCCGTTACAAAATACGGTAGAAGCGTTTGTAATTTATTGAAATTAAAGATCTATTTTTGTATTATGTAAATATACTCAGAAAAAGAAATACTGTAAAAGAAGATCTGCAATTTTAAGCAGCTGACCTAGCTGTACTTAATTATTGAACATATTATGCTCACAAAAATGTTCTTTGTTTGGACATGCATTCGGGAAACTGGAATCGTGGCCAGGCTACTAAATAAAAATAATGTCAAATGCATTTTCTACATACCGGATTAAAATGTACATCATTTTCAGAGCACTAGGATAACAACACAAATAATTGAAATCAAATTTTTTTTTTTATTTTGAGGGGACATCTAGCTTTTTTCTGAATATTACAGGCACTAGCCTGAGAGAAATAAGTGAGAACTGCAAATATAATGTTGAATCTGTTACCTCTGAGTAATGGCATGTGTGATCCATGAGTCGCTCAATGCAAACTGCCAGTCATTCTGTGAGTCAAAATTTAGACAGACTTCAAACAGATGAGCCACATACGCCCTGTGCTTGGCTGTGGCTCTCTGGAGCCAGCTGACGGCAATGGCAGAAATCACAGGCCGGATGAACTTGTGCTGAATGTCATGCTGAACTCAAATGGTAGGTCTGGGCATCTCCAGAGGGTACAGTGAGGAGCTCAGCAGTTCAGGGCTTCTCTGTCTCCATGAAGCGGTACCGAACATGAAGAACGGTTTGGTGAGGAAAAGACCCAGTACTTGGTAGGCAGAGGTAGAGCTCCATGGCTTTGTTGGTCACAGAGCCAGGATGCCGGACCAGCATTGCTGTTGCAGCCCAAGTTTGTCATAGCAGTCATAGATTCCCCTCCTCTAAAATCCTGAGAAACGCTTAGAGCCAAAACTCATTTCCAGTGCTTGGCATTGGGGATGGAAGAGAATTTTCTCCATAAAGTAGAAATATATAAATAGCATAGAATAATTCTAAAAAAAAAAAAAATTATCATCTTTTTCCATGCTGCTGCTTGCTAATTATGAGAGCTTTGTTTCACGTTTGTTCTCTCCAAGTCTATCATTTCCATATTCATACAATGAAGAGATGCATTTTTTGCATCACGGTTGCTTTTACAGTGGTAGATAATGAAGTTAGATAAGACTTCACTGCAGAATAAAGCTAAATGAGGTGCAAGATAAGAGGTGAAAGGAAGCCTAATCTTCATCAGAAAAGTGATGGTAGTGGAAGTCTCTGGACTATTGACTATAATGGAAATAAGGCCTGGAGAACTAGTCTAAAATTTTGTAAGACTGTCAAAACTAGTATTCAGAAAGGCATAGGAAAAATACAGCTAAAAGGATGATTGCTATGGCTTACGATCCTCTACTGTTCACTTTTGCCCTTGTATAGAATTCCCCTTCATCAGGACACCTTATTCTATTTATCTTCACAAAACAAAGTAAAAAATGGAATCTTCAAAAGTAAATCTTATTGTGAATTTCTCTAAAATGAGGTATGTTGTAGGCTGTGGAATGTCCTTTTTAACTTGTAGGATGATTAAGGTGCTCCTCTAGCTCACCTTTCAGATAATAAGATGTAGTGCTTTACTAAAGCTTTACTATATACAGTAGTTAAATCTGGCAAAAGTTGGTCCAGCACTTAGGTAGCTTAGTGCTGTTCTGTTTGGGAAAAATGAAATATATGTAGACAAAGGACAGACTTTGCCAGGAATAAATGACATATTAGATTCAGGAAATTCCTGTGTGTAAAACTGGGAGTATTCCCTGCTGCAATATATCTGTAAAAATTCTTCTGGTGATTATAATGCTAAAATCAGCAGTATATTTTGTTCATTTTATCTATCTCCTGCTGGTAATCAGATGAATAATTTTCCCTTATGTTAATCATCCATCAAACTGTGAATTTGCACTCTGGGAAGGTGATGTACAAGACAGACTACTGTAATTCTTGCAATGCTTGTTTTCTAACGTAGATATATATTTCACAGTTTTAACAGTATTGAACCTTAAGCAAATAGAGCAAACCTGCAAAGCTGTATATTCTTGCTTCCTGGCTCATAGTTTTTTGATAAATACAACTTTTTTAGTATTTTCATGGGTTAGTAAGTCTTCAGTTTTAAAATAACCAAAATTATATTGAATATAATCTATTAGAATATAATCTAATCTGGGTTATTATTTCAAAGGTAAGTGTCAGAAATCTTGCCATTCAAGGTCATCATTACCATATAATAAGGAATTAAAAATCTCGGTTCTCTCCTTCCTGTTCACTTGCAAAACAGATGCCCCAGCTAATTGACTTGGGTTCAACAGAATGATCCACCAAGCTGGAAGTGTAACTCTGTATACCTCAGTCTTTTTGGTATATGGATCAGTGTGGGGGAAACGCAGCAATTATGAGTGTTTGCACAATTATGCCATGTTCAAGGTTTTATGTTACTTTATGTCCATGGAAACATAAATAACACTGCACGCTGCCCTCTGTGGTACAGCAATACTGTCATGTTGCTTTTTGTTCTGTTCTTGCAGTCCAGTGGTCCACGCTGTTATCTCTTGGTTTGCACTTGAGTACTTGATGGAGCCCATCAACTGATTCCCTTGGCAAGGCGACCTGTGTGTGGGGGGGAAGAGGCTGGGGCACACGTGCCTCCCCCATCCCTCTGTACCCTGACATAAGGACCAGCACTTGACTCAGCTCAGAGGTCCCAGAAGTGTATGGTGGCTTGG